TGTCAACCTAGTTTTTCTTACCTTGATATTTCTGTCCCATGTATTTTAACATCTTTAAAGTTTTTGCTGGTTAAAACTTCGTTAATCTTCCAACAATGTATAGTTATAATATGTACTTGGTAATTATGGAATTTGATTATTCAATTCACATTTTGTGACTCTCTAATCAGGCTCAAATAGATGAAGGAGTCCCTCTGAAGATTTGCTTGTCTCAGTTCTGTAAATGGATTCATAAAGTTCAGCAACAGAAGAACATTTTTTTTACTCCTGAGGTTTCAGAGCCTTCTACTTCTGAAGTAAAATTATGTGCATTTGTTACCTGGTCAGGTAAAAATGATTTATGCCTATCAGTCACAAGTGGGTAGCAGTACCACTACATAATTCTTTATTTCTAATGTCATACTTGCTAACCTACAATTAGACGTGTTACCTTCCTGGAAAATAAATTCAGTTGCTAGCAGATGTCAACCAAAAAAAGGAAATTCATTCATATTTTTAATATTATGGTTCTGGAATAGCTTAAATTTTTAAACCTTAGCTTTTAGAATCTTTGTAGATGTTCCTCTCCTTCTAAATTCAGATAAAGATAATTTAGTGAAAACTTATTACGCTATTTATGCAGCCTTGAATAATGATTCTTCATTCAGCTCACATCCTTTGCCTTTGTACTTTGGTACTTACAAATACAGACATCAGGAAAAAAAATCAGCCATTTAAAGTAGTAGGTCTTCGGTATGACCATGATGCAGCATTGGAAGTACAGTAATAATCATTGACAGCAGTGTTTATACTTTTTTTTTTGTGTGTGTGGTATCGGGATTGAACTCCGGGCCTTGTGCTTGCAAGACAGGCCACCGAACCGCTGAGCTAGATCCCGGGCCCAGTGTTTATACTCTTAATGGCAAAGATTAATAGTCATATTTGGCCTCAACCTGCAATAATAAAATGTGGTTTCTCAATTACACTGATGTTTTCCTAGCATATAGGAAATTCAGCCTTTGTAGCTTAACATCTTACTCTTCTTTTTGAAATAGTCAAGGTTTTGTTCAGTGTATAAGAAATCATTTTGGAATTTAGTTATCAATATAATTTCTTAATAGTTTTAAAAAATATAAAGTAACATGAGCTATATTAATATTAATTATTGTAGAGCAATTAAATCTTAATGTTCTGTTTTATATGATCTTCTATTTTAATGTATTTAATGAAGACTGGGACTTAGGTGTTTGCCTGGAATATGAGTGTAAAAGAAAACAGCTGTTAAAACCTGTGTTCTTAAATTCTTGGATTGATCTCAGAGCGACTTACAAGGTAAGGATCAAAAATGACATGGTCACTTTTCTTCTTCTGAAAAATAATTACATTTTATCCCTCACATGGGTTTCCACAAATAAAATTTTTTTGTGTGTGAATGGTCACATAATATTCACTGTAAGATGTTTTAAAACTACCCAACAAAAAATAAGCACATTCCAAATTTAATAGAAATAAAAATTACAAAAAATAGACTCATGCATAGCCTTTCAAATAGTGATCATATTTTTAGATATGTCTTTCTTTATTTGATTAGCTTTTCTATAGAAGAAAACCAAAAGGACTAAGTGGTGCCTTGCAGGAAGTGGGAATAGAATTCTCTGGACGAGAACATTCAGGTTTGTCAAAATTAAAAATCATTTTATCATGTAAGGCAGTTGACATTTATAAAATCTTTCATGTGAGTCCCATCTCTTGGTAATGCCATTAATAAGGAATATCCTTCAGCCTAAAAA